TTAAATCGTTGAGATTCGTCACATTTTCTACTTAGTCGAAGAGGCCAAAAAAGGAGGTTATGTTTGCTTTGCATTAAGAGACAGTATAGCCCTATTCCTGTCACACTAGTGCTGAATAGATATTGGATTATTTTACTCAGAGGAGAGTAAGAGATGAAATTGAAGAGTTATGCATGTTTGGAGCTTCTAAGAACCAAAGAAAGGACGCAAGAGGTTCTTGCAAACCTGCAGATTCAAAGCCTTGAATGTGTGAGATTCTCTGACGTGTGTAAACTCGGGATTTCTGGGTATGTTTCTCTTCAGTGATAGCAAAACTGCATGGAGTCACATGATCCAAAAAAGAAAAGAAAGAAAAAGCCAAGTTAGAATATTTTTAAGGAAATTCTGACTTTTTCAAGTATTAGAGAACCCCCCCCCACCCAGCTTCTTGGGGTATCTCTAATTATCTGAAGGAGTCACCGTCAGGTGTCCCTCCTGCAGATAAAGGGGCGTCTAGCCAGGGCAAACAGCCTCTTCCCCACAATCACCTCAGACAGAGCAGACCAGAAAGTCCTGAGCTCCCAGGATCAGGCTCTCCAGAATCCTCAGATGTCACAGGCATGATCCCTGATCCACGTACCTCTAAAAGGAGCCAGTCCCCAGCAAAGCTGCCCCAATGAAATGAATTCTTCGCTTTATCTTGAATGACTCTCTGATCGTCGGTTAATGAGATGGCGACTAAGGGCAGCTCTTCAGTTGCCTGTTTTAATGAGTAGATAGGAATTATTTTTAATTAGTGCTTCAGTTGTCTACAATTAAAAGATGCTCTCTGATGTGCTTAAGGGCCTTTTGAAAACAGTTGATTTTCTTAATTCGGTTAAGCATTGCCTAAGCGCTCTTGTTTGCAGTGCTATTTGTGTTCTCTGTGAGAAACCTTTCTCCAAGCAGAGATCATTTCCAGCCTTTGTAGAATAGTCCAGTGTTAGTGGAGAACATCTTGACAAGGGCATTAACCATACTTAATGTAAATTTCAGGGCAGTGCGTTTGCCTAGCCCCAGGCGAGATGCCAGAGCAAGAAGCCATTATCATGTATTTCGGAGCTGTTACCTCCCCCAACCCTCTGCCCAGCTAGAAGATACACGAGTGTGCCCCTCAGTCTCCCTGGCAGCGACGGTGGGGGGTTGGGCAGTTTACCCACCAAACCTTGGCTAACCATCTTGAGCAGGGCAGTAAGCCCTTGGCCTGATACAGTCAGGTAGGTGTTACTGGGATGGCAGCACACATTCTGTGACAAGATGATGACAAAATTTGGCGTTTTAGGATTAACAGGTATGAGTTCGTTAGAAGACATAATCCGATCATTTGCCTTAGCCCCAATCCCATACTCAAAGTGTTTTCTCTCCCAAATCCTTGAAATTACTCCCTGGAAAGTAACCATTGGTTCCAAAAGTCTGACATTGTCTATTGGATAAATATATTTTTAGGATTTCTTTAAATATGATACTTTGGGTTTCTACCAACCCCCCACCTTGGTTTCTTTTTTTAAAAATAAATCATCCAAGAATCAGTTTTCAACCAAAAAGGCTTTTGGGGTTTTTCTTTTTTTAGTCCATGTCCCAGAATAGTAGTTTCAGAGTTGCCAACTGCAAAAAGGACCTATGTGTTATGTATGCTGCCCAGAGCTATTTCCGGGCACACACTAAATGGTTTTAGAAAACTAGTACTAGTACGTGGAGTAACTCGCGTGGTTTCGTGTGTAACAGGAAAAACCACCTTACCTCGGGACTCCAGAAGCTGTCAAGTCGTCTGATCGTAAGCGGTAATGATCTTGACCTTGATAGCTGACAGGAAAAATTATGTTGGACGTGGCAACGTTCAGGAAGGCAAATGGTTCTTTCAGCAAAATGGTTCGCTTTCTCCTTTACACGGCGGCTGAGGGAGTAATGGCTCTCCCTGAACTGTAGGAACCCTTCCACAGACTTGGATAAACCCCATGGGAATTAGCGCACACTTCCATCTGTACGGTTGGCCAGTCAGCATGTGTGCACTGAGTTCCTTTGGCCTAGCGCTGGCCTTGGAGCCGCATAAATATGGGAGCAGTAGGTGTCCCGCGTCACCTCCTTCAAGTCCTTCGTCCCATCCTGGCAAGTGACAAGTGGAGCAGTGAGGGAATAGTCAGGTAGTAGGGCTATCCCGTAAACTATCCACCACATAGTGCCTTCTAGCCCTATGCGGAGGGTCGTATCCCTCGAAGTGCTACACACTTGCCAGTGCTAGAGTCGATAGATGACCTCTATTCGTTCAAGACAGATGCAAGCATCCACCGTGGAGATGATTTTGTGTCGAATGAGGCACCATTCTAGACCAAATAATTTTTTTAGACCACTCATGGAAGTTCATTAAAGGATAGATAGGTCTACAAGTGCCTCGTTCCTATCTGGATTCTTACGGGGGGAGGTTCTGCATGGCGTCTGGCCTCTTCTGTGTTTGGCTACATCACGTTTTCTGTTTTAGACCGAGCTTGTGCAGCCAAAATTTTATCAGATCAGCCTAAGCCCTGCTGTGGTTTCTAACCTTCCTAACCCTGTGTATCTCCTGCATCATGATTTAAACGAGTTCGGTAGTTTAGCTTAATTGGGGAGCAAGAGATGTAGAACTAAGATTTCCTGAGGGCTGATGTTTTGGTTTCGCTAATTTGATTTTGTGCTGCCTTCAGCTCACGGTGTCTATTAACTGCCCCGGGACACAAGTCCTTATACCATCGATATGGCTCCGGAGACACTAACACCTTCTTTTGGGTTAAACACCTACATTTCATTATCTTTTAATTGAGTTCTCGGACATGTGGAAAAGAAAATAATGGGTGATTAATGCTTCTGCGTGAATGAGGACTAACAGTACGTATAATGAATATGACTTACTTTAAAATCTCTTCTGCAGTAAAATATTGTGCTAGTTGACAGCAAACCAAGGTTAAAAAGACTTTAATTAAAAATTGCAAGCTCACCCTAGCCCAGAGCGCTATCCCATGCAAATCTAAGAATATCTAGTGGACCAAAAAAAAAAAACCCTAAAGTTGTTCAATAGCACCCCCTAGCATATATAATTTTAGGCTATAAGACTAGGAAGCAAATTCTTTTTGTCATTTCTTCTCTAAAAAGTATATGTTTTTAAATATGTCTAGTTATATTGGCTCATTCTTCACATTATTCCTGAGTCGAATGTCTGAAAGTAACTATCAACAGAGGAGGACATGATCTAGTAGAATAATTTCTTGTGCAAAGATTTTCAGAATGATTTTATTTTAAATCTGGCCGTCTTCTCTTCATTGTCTCTGCTTTGGTTGGCTGATTTAAGGAGATTTGGGTTTTGTTTGTTGTTTTTGGAGTAAGTCATCTAGGAAAGAGAAAAAGGCAGAGCTGGGGGAGGTTCCTAAAGTAGATCATGGCAGTCCACAAAGTAGGTGTAGCGTATATAACTCTCTGGTGAGTGTTAAGAACGCAGCCTCTGGAGCCAGACTCTGTTCTGGGCTTTGTGATCCTGGGTGGGCTCCTTAACCAGTCTGTAACTTTGTTTCTCCCTCCGCGAAATGGTCGAATGGTAATAGACGCCTGTCTCACAGAGTGGTTGCAGTGAGCACAGAGGAAGGCACTTGAGACGTCTAGCACATGAGTAATGGTCAGTGACAGTCAGCAGTGGTTATTTCACCGTGGATGCTTGGATGTGGTTGTGACCTACAGCTTGGATTCTAATAGCAGAAAGACCTGAGTCCAAACTCTGTGGGACACCTTGGGCAAGTTGCTGAAACTCGGTTTCCTCACCACTAAATGCGGATGGAATAGCAGGTGCATACAGTGTATGCGAAATGCCCAGGTTAGACAAGGTGGGGGCCCCTGGTTGGCTTAGTCGGTAGAGCAGGCAGCTCTTGATCTCAGGTCATGAGTTCAAGCCCCATGTTGGCCATGGAGCCTACTTTAAAAAAAAAAAAAAATGGATTAGGTGGAACGGTGGCGGGGGTGGAACATAGCTGTTACTCTTTGTTTCCTTCTCTTTTTTTAAAATATTTTATTTATTTATTTGAGAGAGAGAGAGAGACAGAGTGAGAGAGGAGGTCAGAGGGAGAAGCAGACTCCCCATGGAGCTGGGAGCCGGATGCGGGACTTGATCCCAGGACTCCGGGATCATGACCTGAGCCGAAGGCAGTCACTTAACCAACTGAGCCACCCAAGCGCCCCACTCTTCATTCCTTCTAAAATGCCAATAAAACAACAGTGAAAGGACCCCACAAAATAATAGTAATCCTCTATACTAACAGAAGACAGTATCGACATTCTGTAAGGTGGAAAGCTGAGAGTGGGAACGAACTTAGCAAACCCGAGAAAGCCATTTATACTGTAGAATGCAGAAAAGGCTCAGGAGATGCTCAGCCTAGATACCTCTGGACACAGATGTGAAAGTGGACCTAAAAACAGGAGGATTCATTGAAACCCAGGTCTGCGCTTTCATTCCTTAGCGCCAGGCACTGTTAAGGGCAGGGACACACCAAAGTGAAATCAGGGCTTTTAAGTGAAAGTCTGCATTCCGAATGCTGAGATCCCTGGTTGTCTTTCCCCACCTGGCTCCCCAGGATGCTGGCAAGGACTTAGACTCTCCAAGACATGATGAGATGCACCTTCTCCGGCCCAAGTAAATAGACTCAAGTACACTGCCCTTGGACTTTCTGTAACTGAAAAGCCCATCACATCCCTGAATCCCACGGTCCCATGCCCAGCCTGTGTGCGCGGAGCTTCCACCAGCGGTCGAGTGTTCCATGCCGAGCTGGGACGGATTGCCGGGGCCCCCCGACCAAGGTCTCCCGAGGGTGGATCACTGTGTGGCGTATACAGTGGGGCATATTACAGGTTTTAACATCTGCCTCTAACGGTATGGCCTTGAGCCAAGTCCTTGATCTCTCGAGGCTCTAGTCACTACTGATGTAAAAGAGAGGGGATAGATTAGACCTTTGTTTATTTGTTTTTAGACTAGACCACCATCTCTAAAGGTGCCTTCCTTGTTCTCAAACAGCCCAGGACATCAGGACAAGTCTCTGAGGCCAACCTGGTTACTTTTAAGAAGTGTATGTACATACATTCTTATTATTAGTAATAGGTAACACATATTATTAGTAATAGGTAATACATCGTGAAGATAAATAATAATATCTAAGCATTATTTGAATATCCACCATGTTCCAGATGCTTGCGTTATCTTCTTAAACCTCACTTCATGGGGTACTAGTGCTTTATGAGACACATTGTTTTATTCCCATTTTGCAGAGAAGCTAACTGAGGCTTCAAGGATTTATGTGTAAAATTTACAGACAGTCAGTGACAGAGTCTGGGTATTGAGGATCCGACCATCTCCAGAGAACCAGTTCCCTAGATCTCACCGTGCATCTCTTTTTTTGAACTCCGCTCGGTACTTCCCCAGTGAGAGCTTTATACTCTTTTGGTTGCTTTCGGTTTTAGTCTGGCTTCATTGCCTCCCACTGGGGAATTACTTTTTTCCCTGTTATGTGGATCGGCATTGGAGGCCTCAAGGAACCGAGCCCTGTATTCCTCTTACAAAGGTCATTTGCTCTGAGTTCTCAGAATCCCCATTTAAAAGCTTCTACGTGTGTGACATTACATTGTTCCAATCCCTGCCCATCTAAACCTGAACAGGAGGTGTTGTGTTTGCCACGGCCACCAGGCCTCCAGATCCCTTTGTTCAGTGGATCGTGTGACACGACAGTTGTCTTCGCACATCGCCAGACTCTGTAGACTAATAAGTGACTACTGTAACGGATCTTTATACATAAATCTTTTTTCCGTTTAATGTCAATTTTGGAGTATATAAAAATAAGGAGAGAACATAAAATAGACCTGATGAAGCGTCAAGAAAATCTTTTAAAAGAAGCCTGGGGGCGGCTGGAGGTGAGAACTCCTTCTCCCTTGTGCTGTGCGTTCTTCAACATTGGGTGAAATGGACGTAACATGAAATTTACTACTTGAACCATTTTTAAGTGGACAGTTCAGTGGCATTAAATACATTCGCGTTTTTATGCAAACATCACCATCATCCATCTCCAGGACTTTTCTCATCTCTCTGTACCCATTAAACACGAACTCCCCATTCTCCACCCTTCTCTACCCCCAGCCACTGGCAATGACCAACTTTCTATCTCCATGTAGCTGACTCCTATAGGTTCTGTAGAAGGTCTAAGCTGACATGATCAGTACTACAATTAAGAGAGGAACAGATGTTATATATTACTGTTACTACCCAGAGGGTTCATGGTGAATGTATTTCAAAGGTTTTTAGAGTGAAATAACATATGTTAAGCTCTTTCTCTTTCTTTGAAATAAGTTCAAACCTATTTTTTTTTTTTTAAATCCTGAGGTTCTTGTAATTTTTAAAAGTGATGGTGCCATGCGCTTGGACAGATGCGATCCCTTGTTCTTTTCTCCCATGGGGCCCATGCGTGATTTTAGTGATGGCTACAATAGAAGCTCCCTTCCTTCTTCCCTTTGGTGCCGCCACCCTCCCAAGTTCATTCCTCGGAACCACCTGCCCAGCATCATACTCCGAGTGGGATTAATGTTGCCAAAGAGTGTAGCAGTCCAGTGAGGGAGGACAGGCGTTCAATCGTTTCTCTTCCTCAGCCTTTTACCAAGTGCCTCCCACTGTCACATACCGCCTACAAACGCAGATCAGACGCTATCACTTTCTCTAAGGGGCTTCCGTTCCAGGAGACTGAAGCCTTTAAAAGGACCTGTGGTGGGATGCCTGGGTGGCTCAGTGGGTTAAAGCCTCTGCCTTCAGCTCAGGTCATGATCCCAAGGTCCTGGGATCGAGCCCCACATTGGGCTCTCTGCTCAGCAGGGAGCCTGCTTCCCTTCCTCTCTCTCTGCCTGCCTCTCTGCCTACTTGTGATCTCTCTGTCAAATAAATAAATAAATCTTTAAAAAAAAAAATCCTGTGGTAAGAAGACAGAGAGAGGTGGATAAACAGATAAGCTGAGGCACCAGAGCAAGAACAGTGAGGGGGAAGCTGGTTCCACACAGGAGGCTGAGGATGTCGGTCATCATGGTGGCTTTTTGGGGTGGGGGGATGCCTTTCTCCACAAGGCTGACAAACTGTACCATGCCACTTTGAGTTGCTTCTGCAACTCCTCAGGTTCTAGTCTCTGGTTGGCTTTGGAGCTATTCAGATGATAAAGGAGCAGGGGACCAGGTGGTGTTCATTAATTTGGATAAGAAAGCAGCATTGTCTCTCGACCTTGTCTCTCATCTCCCTCAGCAGCAGTCGTTAAATGGAAGCGTGAGAATTTTGCAGAGCGGGGTTGAAAGTCCTGTGGTACACAGATTAGCTCAAATCTCTTCTTGCCCCACATTTTGTTGGAAGCTGGACTTCCCTCTTCTGTGGAAGGTTAAACCAAAACAACTCATTTCCAGGTTACAGTGTCCTTTCAAAGAAAATCCCTAAAGAGACACCTGCCTGATTTGGAGGAGAAATAATAGAACTTCCTGCAAGACATAATTGTGATAGAAGCTAGTCATGGCCAGGTGAAGCTTTTTTGGCGACTGGGAACAGGGCGACAAAACAGTGAGCTAGGGATGGAGAAGGATCCCATGTCATCCACTCAGGAAGAAGTCACCATGCTGTGGAGAGGACATGACGTAGCTGTTTGTCCTAGGAGCTGAGCCGATGGAAGTCAGGAATTTCAGCTCCCTTAACCCAGTTTTTTAGAAAGCATCACGATACAGGTCAGCCTCGTCCATTTAAAGCATTCCACTGGACTGTAGTTTCCTCTTGACCACATATAAAGGGTATTTATTTAAGGAAAAGGCTGTCAATTATGTAAGGTCCCCTGACTTTGGTCAACAAGGACCAGGTAGAGATGACAAACGAATCTAAAACCAAATCCTTTATGATTTTATAGAGAGAGACACTACCTTTTGGGGGCGGGTGGAGAAGCGGTTTGATGGATACTGTTTGTCAATTTCCACCGTGCAATTACTCCCACAAGGACTGATTTCAAACTACCAGCCACTGGCTAACAGAATTCCTGCATATTTAACAACTGGCTCTCCTAGTCAGGGCCGGCTCCAGAGTACCACTGTACGTCTGACTGGCCGGTAGAAATAGCCTTTTTTAAAGACTTAAATTGGAGTGTTTGCCAGAGGCGGGAGGGTAGGAGGCACACAACATGGGTGAAGGGGGTCCAGAGGTCCAAACTTCCAGTTACACGATAAATAAGTTATGGGGATGTAAAGTACAGCATGGTGACTGTAGTTAATAATACTATATTACCTATTTGAAACTTGTTAGGAGAGTAGACTCAACAGCAGTTCTCATCACAAGAAAAAAATTTTTTTGCAGCTATCTATGGTGTTAAATGTTAACTAGACTTACTGTGGCGATCATTTTGCAATATATACAAATGTTGAATCATTGTGTTGTACCCCTGAAAACTAATTTAATGTTATGTCAATTCTACCTCAATTTTTTAAAAGATTTTATTTATTTATTTGACAGAGAGAGAGAGAGAGAGCACAAGCAGGGGGAGCAGTAGACAGAGGCAAAGGGAGAAGCAGACTCTGCTGAGCAGGGACCCAGATGCGGGACTCGATCCCAGAACCCTGGCTTAACCGACTGAGCCATCCAGGCGCCCCTCTACCTCAGTTTTTAAAAAATGTAATTTGAATGCCTTTGGGAGGGGTACTCCCTGCTGGCTGTCCTTATCAGTCATACCTGGTGCCTCTGCTCCCTGTTGCTCACTCAGGGTGCCATCAGCTAGTCACATGGCTCGCCTGGCCTTAAGTTGCTTTGGTCTGGGAGGTACCGCTGCTGTTTTTCACCAATGGCCGTGGGGTTTTTGTCTGTGTCTTTGAAACTGGGTTTCTTCCAGGCTTCTCGTCTCATCTTCTGTTGTTAAAACACAAAGCAGGTGATAAAAATTATGTGGACTGCTCTTATTCTCACCCTCTTTAATTTATAGATTTGGGTTTTTTAGGAATGAACAATATTGGGACACCTGGGTGGCTCAGTGGGTTAAGCCTCTGCCTTCGGCTCAGGTCATGATCCCTGGGTCCAGAGATCGAGCCCCACATCGGGCTCTCTGCTCAGAGGGGGGCCTGCTTGTCCCTCTCCCTCTGCCCTCCCCCCACACCCATTCATGCTTTCTCTCTCCCACTCTCTCTAAAACAAAACAAAACAAAACAAAACAAAAAGAATGCACAATATTTATTGAAAGAGATGAGATGCCAGTGCATGGTTCCTGCCTGCCTTTGGCCAATAACTCTCTGACCTTGGGTAACTCAGAAAATGTCTCAGAGCCTCCGTATCCTTAATGGTTTCCTTAATGTTCTCATCTGTGAATGCTTGCCTCATGCTGTTGTTGTGAGGCTCAAATAATAAAAAGTTCGAATTATAACAATAACAGCAATTGCTGACATCTGTTGGGCTCTTACCACACGGCAGGGCCCATGCGTGGCCGTTGGTCTGCACTAACGTAATGAATGCCCGCAGGCCCTGGTGTGGTGTCTGGCACCTGCCAGGGGTGTTCAGTGAGAGCCATTATGTTGACCTAGCCTGTTTTTGCAATTATAAGAACCCACGGTGTTAAAGAATCAAAAGCTATGTTTTTCTATTGTCAGATAATCGCAGGGGCGCCAATTACGTACATACCTAATGGCCTCGTATAAGAAACAGATTAAACACAGTTAGATGTGTACTTGAGGAGTTTATCTTCTGGAACAATGACTCTGGGAGACAATAGGGACTTGGGCAAGTACATCAGCATACGTACAAGTTGTTCTGCGTTGTTTCACGGCCCTCGGAATGTTTCCTACCAAATGACCATTGGACAACAGATGGGGCCCTCAACATTGGTGAGATTTCATTTCAAGATTCCCCTTGCAGATGGATAAAGTCTCTAATATTTCTATTGAGTTTTATCAGGAAACCTTGGTCGGTGGTAAAGGTACCCTTTCCGTGGTATTCACATGAGACGTTTTCACTGTGTTGTGGTATTTTCCAGAATGCAAGCAGGATTTTTTTTTTTTAAGTCCCTGAGAAAAGTGGCTGCACCTT